CTCTGCGTCCTCGCAGAGGACTAGCCGCGCGGGACCACAGGCGGGCCGGCCGCTGAACAGGCCCGTTCCCCTTTCCTTCCTGGCCCACCCCGAGGGGGGCCGGGGCCTCTGGAGCCCTGCAAGAGGGCCCGGGCCCCCCGCGCCCTGGAGCCGCCCTGCCCCCACGCGGCCCGCCCACGGCTTCCGAGCCATGATGCAACCGGCTGCGGCCTGCGCTTCCTCTCCGGCAAGATCAGGTTCCACGTGCAGCCTGGAGCGGGGGCTCCCCGGCGCGCCTGCAGCGCTCCGCTGCCAGCCCCCAAACCTGTCGCTTCTCCTCACAGGATGCCACAGGAGGCATCCTGTGCTGCGGGGGGGGGCGGACGGCACCGGCTGCCACCCTTCCCCCTGCTCTCTGGCCCTGGTCGTGCTGCCAGCAGGAAGGCTCTGCTGAAGAGCCAGGGGAGCACAGCAAGGGTGAGGCTGAGACCCGGCCCAAGCCCCCCCTAAGCCCCCCTTGGCCAGGAAGCTCCCTGGGCGGCCTGGGGCAGGCATGAGCAGCCGCCCCGCCTGCCTTGCAGGGTTGTTGTGAGGTTGACATAGGGGGAGAGGGACCATGTGCTCCACCCCGGTTGCTCCCAAGAGAGCAAACATGCCCCCCCCATCTCTCTTGCTGATGCTTCATAGAAATGCGGAACTGCCCGGAAGGAATGAGGAACCCCTGAGCACTTCTTGTTTCTGGAAGCCGCAGCGGGGAGGGGTCTTGCTCAGCAGGCCTGGGGTGGAGGGCAGGAGGTGTGACGCGATTGCTCAGAGTCCAGCCCTGCACAACCAGTCCTGGAATAACTTCTTGCGCAGTTCCACCCAGGCCTGAGCGGAGGAGCGCATGCGTGCGGCAGCTGAGCAGAGACGCATCTGGGGGACTTCCATGGCTTGGCCTTGGGGCTGCGGCTGTGCTGAATCTGCCGACATCATCTCCGTGGGATGACCGTTGTGGGCTCTCGTTTGCGGGAGAGGGAGGGAGGGCTCCCCCACCTGCACACCACGCACCAATGGGGACCCCTCTCCCGTCTCCTCGCACAGGCCTTTCCCCCAGAGAAGCGCTGAGCAGGGCCATCCTGGGCAGGTCCTTTGCAGGTGCTTTCATTCCTAGGGTTGCCACAAGCAGGCCTGGCTGGCGCTGCCCGCATCCGACCCCCGTCACGGAGAGGAGCAGGAGGGGGAGGAAGGCAGGACGGGCTGCGTGGGGAGCCGGGCAGGGCTGAAGGTCAGCCAGCGTGAAGAGGGCAGAACCAGATCCGTGCCTGGCCCGTCTCCCTGCCCCGGACTTTGCTCGCACACCAAAGCTGCCCACGCAGGCGCTGGGCGGGTTCGGCTCTTTGCCAGGAAGGCAGCCAAGGGCAGACGGGAAACCCTTGGGAGCAGCTCGCCTTCCACGGGAGGCCGTGACCCTCTCAGCCCCGCACATGACCATGCGTTTCCCTGGAGAGCAGAGTGTCTCTGGGCATAAGTGGTGCGCCCAGGTCTGGCTTCGGCGTTGTTCACGCTGGTGGCGTAGCTGAGAATTCATCGGTCCGTCCGAGAGCTCAGCGGCCTCCCAAATGTGCAGCCACCACAACGGCTTCCACCAGAGGTGTTTCTGGCTGTGGGGCCGCGGGGGGACGCCCTGCTGCCTTCCAAGGGTCTCTGAGGCAAGCGGTGGCCGCACGGCCTGTGGGCATCCCTGGAGAGCATCGGATCTCAGCTGCTGCTGGGGGAACCGCTTTCCCCCACCAGGAAGCATGGGGGTGCTGTACTAAAGCTGGCTCGGTTTGGCCAGAAAGGACGAGCCAGCAGGGCCAGGCGGGGTGCGAAGCGGGGCTTTGCCAGGCCCTCCTTCCTGAGCGTGGAGGGAGAGGGCAGCGCACCAGTCCAAGGCTCCGTCCCGGTCGCTCCGTCCGCCGCCCGTGCAGGTGTTGCCTCTTCCCTCCGCGTCTCCCGCCCGGCACGCTGTGCTCGGGCCTAGGGCGATCCAACCGGCCGGCCGGCCGGCGGGTTCTTCCAGTCTGGGTGGAGCTGGGGCTAGAGGCTTGGCTGGCGCACCCGGGCTGCTGGAATGTTCTCAGCCACACCCTGCGCCGGATCAGCGTGACGCAGCTCCCTGGCTCAGGCAGGCGCCGCGCGAGGCCAGCCGGGGCTTTCCAGCGGGGCCGCACACACGACGCTCGGCCACACGCCTCCGACTGCCTTTCCTTGCTGCTTGCCGCAGCTCGGCCTCCCAGACGTGCGGGGGGTGCGTCTCCCATCATGCCCGGCCAGCAGGGGCCATGCCGGGAGCTGTGGTCCGGAGCATCTAGCAGCTTCCAGGCTGGGGGGGCCGGGTTAAGGGGCGTTGCAAGGGGCCTGGGGAGAAGCCTTAGCAATGGCCGCCACTTGTGACAGGTGACACACCTGGCCAGGTTCAGGGGAGCCATTTCTGGAAGTCCCAGAGCTAACCAGGTGGCTACTCCCTCCATGGCCCCTGCTCATGGAAGCGGGCCGGCCCCCGGGAAGCCAGCCCCTTGGCCCACCCCGAACCGCTCGTGGGCCTTTCTTGAGCGTGGCTCAGGCTGGGCACCATCTCCCTGAACCTGGCGCTCCCGTTTCCCAGCCACCCGCCAGAATCCAAATCTCAGCTGCTTGCAGAGGGGTCCTGAAGGCTGCGTGCAGGTGAGCTGGTTTGGGGGAGGCACGGTTCAGGTTGGTCCTTTGGCTGCTCTGACTGACCAAGTGTTGCAGATACGGGTGACAAACAGGGCCAGAACTTGCACTATTGGACTGGAGGAAAAACACGCACAAACGCAACGGAATCGTCTAATCACTGAATTCTTTATTCTCATTATAGTTTGAGCCATTTTATCTGAAATTTTAGGTTTCAGAAAGGAAATATTAAGCTTTTTTCTTCTAGCAGAGAAAGACGAACTTTTTACCATTAACAATTTAGATTGTCACTTTTTCATGTTTCATACAGAAAAGAAAAATATATATATATATTATTTCCGAATATTAAAAAAGATAAATATTATATAAAACTCTGAATAAATAAGAGTGTATAAATAGTTGGTATTTTGGTTCTCTTATCCTCTCATACAAGGTAAACATTGGTTTTATTTTTTAAAATTAAATAATTTTATACAATAATTATACGCAGGTGGTTAGCATTGGTTTATAAAAGAAAGAGGTTCCCTCGACCAGTCTTGCCCTTCTCCAGTCTCTGCTGGTTTGTGCCTTTTCTAGCTGACGTTGATCAGTGCAAAATTAGTGCGAAATGGCCAAGCACAAAGCAGTCTTGATTTGGACTGGACGGCCCGATTCGGCAAAGCAAGCTTGGCTGAACACACCGCCAGGGATCTGGAAGAATACTCATTCACGGAGGTCTCTGTGGATCAAAGCAGGCCCTGCGCTGCCTTTTGGATCCAGGCAGAGAATCCCTCGCGCGATCCTGGGTGAACCCGGCAAGGTCCACGGTTAGGGCTTTGTTTCGCCGAGGCAACAGCCAGATGCGACGGCTTCGGAAGCCCCTAATCATCCGAGCCCCTGGCCCCGTTTGTTTGTCTCACTCCCTTAAAGATCCCTTAAACCCCATAAACACAGCAGAGATTGGAGCCAGGGCACTCTGGTAGGGACAACAGATGGTGCCAGGTACATCCCGGGATCAGTAAGGCGCTATAGCCCCCGGCGGATGCAGATCGGCCGCCCCCTGGAATGAGCAGGACCCCACGGCACAGTAATCGCCAGCTGACCTAGCTCGCGGGCAATCCTTCGCTCAGCCAGGCCAAGCCAGGGCTGGGCTGGGGCGGGGTGGCTGCGCTCCCGGCGGATTTCATCCCACGCGGCAATCTGTCTTGGAGTCAGGCCTTAAAGAGGAGGTGGTCTCGTGCTCCCTCCATCTGGCCAGGTCCACAAGAGGCCTCAGGCCCAGCATCCACCCGCCCTGAGACCTCGCTGGCAAAGGGGTGGGACGGAGCCCCCGCCACGGTTTTGCGGGGAGAGAAAATGCAAGGGGCTGCTTGCGAGTCCAGCTCTGGGCAGAAACGCTGAAGCAGAGGGAGAAGGCAGCTGCCCCCTTCTCAAGTTCTCCACCCCTTGTTATTTGGGGGATTAAATAGGGGAGGGGTTATTCACAGTATGTTATAACAAGGCGTTTTAAAATGAGAACAGTGAAAGAAAGGCATTCAGACAGCGAGTCTGGGAATGTTCCTAGCTGCTGGGCCACCCCTTCCCCTGCGTTCCCTCGACTGTCTTGTAATCCCCCCACCCCCCGTCCCGGCCCCACATGAGAAAAGAAGAATCTTGCCATAAGGAAACAAACGACCCAGTTTTCCGGCAGAGCTGCCAGCAGTCGAGCTGAGAGGTCACTTGTGTAATGCTGCAGGCCAGAGCCAAGAAGCCCTGGCTGAATGCTTTGGTAGGCTGGGGGGACACGGGAAGAGGAGGGGAGCGGAGAAGGGGGGCTCGGCCCTCCCCCACGCCCCAAGAGTGAATTTCACAGGATGAGAGAGAGAGGCGATCGGGAGCCCAAGCCGGGGGGCTGCTTTGCTTCTCCCTCTCCTCCTCTCCCGCGTCAGATGCGCAAGGCACGTGCGTGTAAAGAACCAATGATGCGGGATCTGGTCGCGCAGGTGGGAGGGCAACCAGCAGGTCCGGGTTGAAGGCACGGAGGAGAGCACAGTCCCGGGTCAGCCGTTGCTGCGAGGGCTGTGGCAGGCGGGAGCGAGGCAGGGTCTACTCAGGGGAAAGGCGGGGAGAGCAGAAAAGGGCTGGAGCAAGGCCGGCACAGACCGGAGCAGGGAGCCACCGGGAGGACCTGCTGGCCGTGGCCAGAGCTGCGAGCAGGGGAGCTTTTGCGCTGGGCTTCAGGGTCTCTGGCTGCATAATCGCGCCTGCTTTTGGGAGGGTGAATACTGACACACATGAGGGGGAAGAGGCCGGTGAGGCAGCACCATGTGAGGCAGTGGGGGGAGCTGGCCCCCGTCCCCACGGACAGGCAGCCTCGGTCCCACCTGGGCGACCAGCTCGCTAATCGCACCTGCGCAAGGCGTCTTCTCCTCGGCAGGCGGCCCTTCTGCGCAAGTCTAAGGCACTGGAGTGGGCGGCCGGACCCGACCCGACCCGACCCGACCCGGGGGAACCAGCCTGCACGTGTGGAAAGGCAACAGGCCTCTCCGGCACAGGCCGGCGCGCCAAGGCAAGAGGAAGGCGGAGCATCCCCTCTGCAGCCGCTCGGCGCTCGGACAGCGGCGACAGCTCTGTAGAAGCTACTGGGGCTCCGTGCTCCCGAGGGCACGGGGGCTCCCACCCCCGGCAGGGAAGATCCTACGTACAGCAGAACCCGTCCACCGGCCCCCAGGCATCGCGATGCAAAGCCTCACTGAGGAAAGCAACTGCTGCCCGCAGCTCACTCCGAGACGGAGAGTCGGTTGAAGATGGGCAGCCGATGGGAGGCCCCCACCAGCCCCAGCTGCAGATCAAAGACGGGGGAGTCCGACCGGCTCAGGCTGCCAGAGCTGCTGTAGCTCTCCGGGTCGGAGAGGGAATTGGAGGAGGGGGTTCTGGGCAGGTTGGGGGCTGTGGAGGTCGGCGTTCCGGGGGCGGCGGAGAAGGCGTCCCGCATGGTCTGGAATGAGCCGGCCGGGCCGGCAGACCTTCCGCACTGGCACAGGCAGCAGCCCCGGCTGGCCGAGGGCGAGTCGCCCAGAGTGGAGAGGAAGGAGCTGGAGGCAGAGTTCAGCAGGCCGAAGGGCGGCGAGAGCAGGTCGGCGGAGGCGGGCGGTGGCGAGACCGACGGGGCGCGGGCGAAGGAGGCCGGGTCGGGCATGCCGGGCAGGGTGGGCGACTGCAGGTGGGCCGGCACCCCGGAGAAGCTGACGCTCTGGCGCAGGGCCTGCGGCGCGGCGGAGGCGGCCTCGCCCGGGTAGTGGATGAAGTGGCACCGGGAGCCGTACGGGCACTCGCCGTTGCGGTAGAACTTCTGGCACAGCTCCGTCTTGTACTTGGGGTGGCGGCTGACCGTGCGCAGCTCGCTGGCCCCGTGGGCGAACTGGCACTTGGCCCCGTACCGGCACTTGCCCGACTCGCTGAAGGAGTGGCACAGCTCCGTCTTGTAGCGGGAGGACGGGGCCGGGGCCTGCGCGGCGTGCCGGAGGGGCGGGAAGCCCGGCGGGGGCGCCGGCAGGGCCCGGCCTTCGATGAGGCTGATGGACCGGTCGGGCCGCAGCGTGGGGCGCCGGCCGGGCTCCCCGAGGGGCTGCAGCTGCTCGCCGCCGGGGCTCCAGTGGCTGCGGCAGGGCCACACGGGCGACAGGCTGCCCCCGTAGGGCGCGTCCGCGGAGCAGGCCGAGTGGCAGCGGGAGAGCAGCGGCCCCGACGTGTCCTGCTCTTCCTTCAGCAGGTTCTGCAAGGGGAGAGAAGAGGGAGACGGTCAGGCACAACCTGGGCAGCTTCCCCAGAAGTCTTTGCCGTGCGGCGTTGGGTTCCTTCCCACGAGGAGTGAGCAGAGCGAGGCGGCCGTCTTGGGGGCAGAACGAGTGCCGGGCGCGGCCCGCTCACAGGTGCAGGGGCAAAGGCCCAAGCCAGCTGCGTTCCCCCCCCCCCCCGAGACGGCTGCCCGCCACGGTCCTCCTCCCAGGCCCGAGCCGCCCGGGCGTGCCGAGAGGGGGATGCCACCGGCGTCCGTCTTGAAATGCCGGCTCCTCGCCGTGGGTCCCCTTGAGACCCTGAGCCCGTGCTGCAGAGCCCTGTTGATCCTGGAAGAGGCGCCCGGGGGGTGCTGGGAGGGAGGAAGAAGCCCGGGGAGGAAGGGCTCGGCAGGAGGCGCTGGGCTGCTCAGAGCACAGGGGTGACGTCAGGCTGGAGAAATAGCTCGGGTGGGCTGGGCCGCAGCTATTTTTAAAGGAGCTGAGGCCAGACCGCAGCTGCAGAGAGCAGCAGCTGTTCCACAGCAACGGCAGGCCAGAGGCTGGGGGGGGGGGGGGCAGGACGGGGCAGAGCTGGGGGCATCGGTCCCCCACCTACAGCAGATCCAATTTTGAAAAAAAAATCTCACGGCTTTTTTTGCTGTCGATCGTTCTCTTAAGGGGCAAACAAAATGCCTCTCTTCTCCTCTTAAGCAGCCAGTGGCCTCTGGATGGGTTGGACCACAATTCCCATCGGCCTCGGCCAGTCGTGGTCCAAGCCAGCCAGAGGGCACCAGGTTGGGGAAGGCTGTCCTCAGACCCGGTCCATGGGGAGAGTCTCCCGCAGGAGCCCATGGAAAGGGGCTGGCGGCCTCCTGCACTGCCCCGCCCCATTCATGGGGGTTTGTCCTGGGGGAGGGGGCCCATCCACCTGCTCTGAGCTGAACTAGCCCCCAAATACATGGGGCTGGCAATTCGCTGTAATGTAACCTGAGGGCAAGTGGGGGAAGAACATGCGGCCGGAGCAGCCTCATCCAGCTGGGATCCCTGCCTGGCGTGCCTGACGCTGGATGAGCTGGCTCCCTGGGGCCTCCAATTCAGCCCCATCCCCTTTTTCAAGTGGACAGGTGTTTGCCTTCTGAGACCCACAGAAGTGCTAGTGTGGAGAACCCTGCCCCAGAGAGCATACAGTCTGAGCTAGGCAGAGATGAGTGTGGGGGGAAAGAGAGGGGGAGAGGCGAGGAGGGAGGTGGGGGACAAGCCACCCGGCTGTGCAGGTGCCAGGAAGGGGAAGGGAGTTTGGAGCAGGGCTTGCAAAAGAGGAAGGGCTAGGCAGACGCGGGGCGACGGTTGCAAATTCCCGGAAGCAGCAGGTGACAAGGAAAGGGGCCGGTGAGTGGCAGGCTGTGAACCTGTGTGGGACCGAGAGCTGGGGGACGCACGGCCGGTCGGGGCAGGCATCCAGGGGCCGCGGGGCCTCGGAAGCTGAAACGAAGGCGAAGTAATCGAGGGCCGGGACCAGAGCGTGTGGAAGGGCTGTGCTTCTCACCTCCGACAAGCAGATTTCCAAATCCGGGTGTGTTTTGTTTTAAAAGAGCAGGCCCTGTGATTCAGCAAGGGAAGGAAGGAAGGAGGAAGCAAGCAGGCTTCTCCAGGGTTGGCTTGTTCTGCCAGCAGGCTTCACCCCCCCCTCCCTGCAACCTACTGGCCTCGCCTTGTACAAACACCCTGCTGTTCAGAGAAGGTGCGACCGAAGGACCGAAGGGAGCAAAGGAATGCAAAGGTCGGTCTGCAACCCGTGAAAGCAGAAGCACCTCCTTCCTGGCTGGCCCCTGCTGCTCCCGGTCTATCGGAGACCAGCGAGAGCTTCACACCAACACGACGAGCCCAGTTCAGCTTCTCCCTGCTCTTTGCCATAAAAATGGGCCCCGACTGATCAAGCCCCCTGCCCCCTCAACAAACCACAACAAAATGTCAGCCCCCACGGCGCGGCTAGTTGGCTCCTCTGTAAGGTTCTGGGGCCAGCCCTGCGCCGAAGCCCCCAGACCCGACGGTGCCGCTCAGCCAGAGAAGCAGGGGGCCTGCTGTTTTGGCCAAGCGGCTTCAGTGACAGCCAGCCCATGTGCCTGAGCAGGGCTCTGGACAGCTGTCATCAGCTCGGTGGAGACCAAGGCCACTGCTAGCCACCTTGAGAGCAGCCATCGGCAGCATTTGTCAGGCAGAATACGGGGCAGGGCTACTCTAAGCCCGGGGTGGCCACCTGCCCGACTGGCTTTGCCTGCTGTCTGAACTCCACACAAGTTTCTCAGGGCGGTTTATATCTGTTTGATAAGCCACGGCCTTTGGAGACTTGTTATGTTGGTCTTTCGGGGCTGGCAGGGAAGCGCTTCCCCCGTCCCCTGGTGGCGCCGTACGGGGCTGCCTTGGGGAGGGCTGGACAGCACATCTCCGAAGCCCCTGCCTCTTTGCTCTGGGGCGGACAAGCCACACGGCAGGGCTTGTCCTTGCCCACCTCTGTGCCCTGTGGGATTGTGTGAGCCTGCCTATTGTCATACCCCTTGGCGGATTCTTGCCAGAACATTTGAAATGTTAGATCTATTTTGGGTAAGGCAAATATAGCCTTTGATTTCCTGGGCCTTTCAATGGACTGAAATCCATGAACATAGTCTGGATGCTTGCACTGGTTTAAGGAAGGGGCTCTGGAAAAATAGGAGTTGCGAAATCTATCAGCTCACAAAGGTGGCTTGTTTCTTAACCGTCTAAGGAAGCCAAAAGGAAAGGGGAAAAAATCAGTGCTTGACTGAGAAAAAGCTGCTGTTCCCTCCAGGAAATGAAGAGAAACCAAGTTCCTAGGAGGTTTTATTCCAGCTCTGAACTAGCCAATTTGGAGAGATGACAGGAAGAGAGAAACATTTCTAGAAACAAAAGAAAATCCACAGAAGGAAAGCAGCGCCGAGGAATCTTGAAACCTTGTTTCTAACCAGCCCCGGCCCCAAAATTGGATCTTTTAAAAATGCCCTCACATTTTTGAACATACGTGTAAGATCTGCTGATTCTGAAGTTGGGTTCCTTTTCTTTTTCCAGAAAAGAGAACTTTCACAAAACTTGGGGCTTTAAAGCTTTTGAGCAGGAACGAAGAGTTGAATACCACCCGCCTTGTGAACTAAATAGTCCAGAACTGTCCTTCCCCAACTTGGCACCCTGCAGATAGGCTGGATTGCAACCTCTATCATCCATAGCCAGCACTGCCAGGTTGGAGAAGCCAACACTTGAGTTTTAGGACATGCTGTATATTTCAAGAAGCGAAGGGAACAAAAATACTGGAGGTTGCTTCTCCCTACTTTGATCATTGAAAGCCCCCAGAATCAACCCGACCCCCACCTGTCAACTCTCCTGCCTGTTGTTGGGCACGAAATTTTAACACAGCAGAAACGGAAAGCTGGTCTGTTCAGAGCTGTCATTCTGAGAAACAAACGCACAACCCTTCCTATGGGGTGAGCTTCCACGGCGGGGAGGGCCTCAGCAAGACACTGCCTTGGGAACACAAAGCCCCAGAGAAATTTCAAGCGTGGGCCCCTTTCTCGATTCTTAAATGACAGCCAAACGTGGAACCCAGAAAAGGGTCGCCCGTTCCCACCTGCTCCGCGACGCAGCCACTGGCGTGAGAAGCGCTCGGTGGGAGCGGAAAGCTTGCGACTTCCCCCCGCAGCACCCAAGGCGCAGGGAGAGCCCTGAGGCTGCACCGGGCCCGGAACCCATCGCGTCCTGCGTCCGATTCACACGGCCACCCGTCGCGGCGGGGAGGGCGTCCTCGGAGCCCAGGCCGGCGGGCAACGCGCCTCCAGTCCGCCCGCCAAGGTCGAAGAGCCGGTCCAGTCCGGTCCGGCCGGAAGGGGTCTCCCGCTCCGCG